ATGTTATACCACGGTTCTAATGTCACTTTTAAAAAACCTTTTATTTTATGCTTCTTCGGCTTTACGCTTTTTGTCGCTTCGTTAAAGACATGTCTGAACTGAACTTTTGCGTTACGCATTTGCTGTTGTTATTATTATTGTGTTGTTGTAGTGTTGAAAGTTATAGTGAGTTTACTCGTCAAATTACGACATGGTTTTGGTGTTGCTGTCATAAAGTTTTAAATTGTAGTTTGTTTAGTATTTTTTATTGGATGAGAGTAGGGTTAAAATACGTTAAGAATATTAGTTAAGGAAATATAATCTTTTATAACTTTTCAAAAGTCTTCGAAAGTTGATATTTATTATATTTTATTAATAATTTATTACTTATTATTACTATTATTTTTATTTTTATTTACTTATTTATTATTTATTCATTATTTATTATTTATTATTTATTATTTATTATTTATTATTTATTATTTATTATTTATTATTTATTATTTATTATTTATTAATTATTAATTTTATATAATTTATTTATATTTTTTCATTTATTTTATAAAATTTAAATAGATATTTTTTTTATTTCTTATATTTTTTTATTTGTTATGCCTTGTTAACAAAATTTTATATTTTTTGCTGTTTTCCTACTTTTATTTTTCATTCATACCTAGTTTACCCACTCTTCTCACTCCTTTTTCCTATTCGACCGCAATTTCCCTGCATTTGCTTGTGTAAATAGTGCTCGCTTGCGTATGTAAAAAAACCGGAAATAACTCAAAAACCGCAAGCAAATAAGAACAAAAGTAAAGTAATTTTTCCTCGTAATAAATACACCTGTCAGCTGAGCGACTAGCAAGCAGTCCAGTCCATTCAAGCTGAGTCAAAGACGGAAACTAACAAATTTTCTAACAAGAACGGTAAAATGGAAAATACAAAAGCTAGTACATAGGTAGATTCCTTTATATACATATATACATATACATATATATGTGAATCGAAGCATACAAACAGTGTAGTGCATGTGTGAAAGGCCAGAAACAGCTTAGTAAAGGCAGGTGACAGTGGCAAAGGAAGTCTCATCGGATATCGCAGCGGAAACGGATGGATTTTGATGAATGCATGTGTGTGTGTATGCGTGTCAAGCGATTTAAGGAACTTGAGCTTTGTGGTAGCAAATGATTATACGTATATATGTGCAAAAGTGAGAATCAGTGAATTGTGGTATATACAAAGGAATAGAAAGGTAGAAAGGAAGACCGAATTATACTTTAAAGGGAAATAAATTTATTAGAAATTGTAAGAAATTCAAGAAGAAAGCGAAGGTTAACTTTTTACATATAATTAGAGATTATTTTTCTTCGGAGAAAAGAAGCGGATACTAAGGAAAGGTTGGGTAAACTAGAATAATTTGAAAAGGAACAAAAGCAGGAGTAAGTTTGGGTGAAATTGAAAATTAGATGCTCGGCTGACTCTCACAAAAAAATACTATAGTCCAGTATATGCGAGTTTACTCATAGGATGGATAGTTAGACAGAGTTATGGTTTCGTCTCAAAAAACCGAATATGAAAAACACAGTATACAAGATTTCAAAATCTAAAATTTTCGAATCTCACAAAAAATCTATTTAACACAATTAAAAAAATTAATTATCATGATATCGAGAAATCCGTATATGAAAAATACCTAAAATTAAAAGTAACGAGTTATAAAATATCCGAAACTACTAATACTTAATACCAAATACTTATGTGTAACCAAGCTAAAAATAATGAATACCGAAAAACCGAATACCAAACAAAATTTGTTTATCCCAATTAACAAAAGTAACAAATATCGAAAAATTAGTATTTGAAAAATACCAAAAATTGGCAGTAACGGGATATCAAAAGACTCGAAACTACTAATACCTAGTACCAAATACTTTAAACCAAGCTAAAAGTACTAAATACCGAAAAACCGAATACCAAAAAAAAAAAATATGTTTTTCTCAAAAACAAAAGTACCGAATATCGAAAAATCCTTATAGGAAAAATACCAAAAATTGAAAGTAACGAATTATTAAAAGACCCGAAACTATTAATATTTAATGCCAACTACTTAAGTACCAAGCAAAAAACCGGACTACAAAAACATCCAAAAATACCGAAAGCAAAAAAGATGTTTATAACACTCAAAAAATTCTGAAAAAAAGGGATGACACTACTAATACTAAGTACATAATATATCACATATAAAAATACCACAATCACAATACACCGAATACCAGAAAGTCACAATTACCACGAATACCGAATACCCAAAAAAACCGAATACTAAAATACTATAATTCATTAATACGAAAATATAATTTTGCCTGAAACTATTAACTCTTAGTACAAAATACTTGTAACTAAAATACCAAATACCCAAAAACCGAATATGAGAAAAAAATGTGTACCACACTTCGAAATGTACGGAATACCAAAAAGATTTGTAAGTCACAATTACCAAGAGTATCGAATACGTAAAAAACTGGATATTACAAGTACAAACATACAGAAATATCAAATTATGATTTCGCCAGAAATTACTAACTCTTAATACCAAATACTTATAATAAAAACAAAAATTCAGAATACCCCAAAACCGAGTAACCAAAAAACGAACACCAAAATTACTCGATACCAGGAAAAAGCTGTTTATCATACTTGCAAAAATAACGAATACCTCAAAAACCGAATACCCAAAACCGAATATCAAAAGTACTAAAATTCGGAATGTCAAATTATGATTTCGCCTGAAAAAACTAACTCTTAGTACCAAATACTTATAACAAAAACAAAAATACCGAATACCCAAAAACCGAGTAACCAAAAACCGAATATCAAAAACATCAAAATTACTCGATACCAGGAAAAAACTGTGTATTACTTTTGCAAAAATAAGGAATACCTCAAAAACCGAATACCCAAAACCGAATATCAAAAGTACTAAAATTCAGAAATGTCAAATCATGATTTCGCCTGAAATTACTAACACTTAGTACTAAAATATTTATAACTAAAAGAAAAATATCGAACACTCAAAAACCGAAAATCAAAAATACAAAAATTACTCAATACCGAATACCTCAAAAAATCGACTATCCAAAACTGAATATCAAAAAGCTTGGGCTTCAACCGTTTTGTACCAAATTACTGTAACCTTACTATAGATATCCAGAAGAGATATATGTAAATATAAACTGCTTCTGTTGTTTAATATTAAATTTTCCATACAAAATTGCAGCCCATATAACCAGTCACTCGAAAATGATAACTGTAAATGCTTCTTTTATTTACAACAGACATTTTGCCGTAAGAATTATTTGCAGCAGCTTGCCCATATAAGCAATTAAAAACGCATGAAGTGGCTTGGAAAAGAGTAATTGTGTATTTTTCGTTGGGAAAATGAAGAGAAACAATATATCCTTTATTTGGCTCTTAAGCGAGAAAATAATATAAACGCATAACAGGCGAACTTTAAAAATGGCCGAAAGAATAAATATTAAAAAAATATATATATATTATTTTTCTTATATTTATTATATTGTGCATATAACTGCATAAAAAACATTTAATTGTATGTAGAGTTATAAAACATTTGCATATAGGTAAAGAAAAGCAAAAATATACGCACATAAATATATTTAAAGGCACATAAAAACCGGAAATATGAATACTTAGTAGGCCCGCATGAGATTTAATAACAACGCAGGCATTATTTTGTTGGTGTGCGTATTTTTGGGGAAATAATAGCTTTTGTTGGAAAATTTTTAATAACGGTATATGAGTATTACTCAACCTGTAACACTTGTATATGCGCACATGCGAGTGTACAGGTTTTACAATAATAAATTTTATCAACAAACATATGTACATACATGCACACATATATTAAATGAGCGCATATAAACACTGCGTCCCTACGCTACATTACATTTTATTGCATTGCATTTTGATAATTAAAGTTGAAAGCACAAAATAGACCAATGTGCAGTGAAATGGTTTGTTAACGATTTTATGTTCATTTCTAATTGACCGATTTCATTTTGACTACTACTACTATTGTTATTGTATTATTACTAAACAAAAAGCTAAAAGCTATTAATTAAAAGAAAATATTTTTGTAAATTTTCGAAATATTACTGGCTTTGTTATGACGTTAAATGTTGCTAACCGCTTGTAATGGTTAACAAAATAATTTATTTCCATACGTGCAACATACATACATACATACCTACAACTGCCTTCTGACGTATGTAATATTGTATATAATAAATATATATACACATATGTATGTACGCATGCTAGTTCACTCATTTGTAGCACTTACATGTGTTGTATTTGTTAACAAATACGTACATTTTATTTAATCATTTAATAATAAATTAATTAATTGGTCAACGTGACGTATACGCAACATTCATTTTATTGCGTCTGCATAAACACATTTACCTACGCCAACACACACACGTAGCCACACACAAGTGTTAGCATATAAATATTTATATTTAGTTGTATATTTTCGCTTAATACATACATATGTATACGTTTACTACAGGAAATTCACATTTACAAATACATATGTACGTGCGTTGTATATTTAAAGCGCAGACGACGGCAGTTGTAGCAGTCCGGCAGGTGTGTGCGTTCGCTTGTATAGACACATATATTATATATACATATTTACATGTAATGGCATAAGCATATATTACTGTTGTTGATGTAATGAATGAATAAGTGAGTCAATAATGTAGCTCATCCTTGTAGGTTTGTGAGATATACGAGAGAAGAACTCAATGCAGACACTTTGCAAGTATTTACATAGTTACATATAACTCTCTCACTTATACATCTTAATTATATTATTGCTTTAATGTAACTGGATTTTATTTCGAAGGCGAGAAAATTCAGTTTTTTGTCAAATAAAAGTTTAATGACAAGCTTTTGTTTCACGCAGAAGATATTACTGATATTGTGCATATTTTTCGTACCTGTTCCTACGAAAATACCATTTTGGAATGTAAAAGGTATCAGAAAACTTATACAGAGTACCCAGAACTTGCAGGGCGAATAAGCCTGGCGTGCACACCAATTTTTGGTCATCTTATGGTGTGGTTTTTTACCTGAAAAAAAAAAAATATTTATAATGTAATAACAGTTAATTATATATTTATTATTTTTTATTGATTAATTATTAATTGTTATTATTTATTTACTCATTTAAAATTTATAGTTTTTTATTTATTATTTCGTATTTATTATTTATTTTTTATTGTTTATTTATTCTTATTTATTGTTTATTATTTATTATTTATTATTTACTACTTTTTATTTATTATTTATTATTTACTATATATTTTTTATTATTCATTATTTATTATTTATTATTTATTATTTTATATTTATTATTTATTATTTACTATATATTTTTTATTATTAATTATTTATTATTTATTATTTATTATTTATTATTTATTATTTATTATTTATTATTTATTATTTATTATTTATTATTTATTATTTATTATTTATTATTTATTATTTATTGTTTATTGTTTTTATTTATTATTTATTATCTTATATTATTTACTATTATATGTAATAAATATTCACTGAAAAAAATCAAATAAGTAAAATCTTTAATAAATAAACAAATTTTACCCTTTTTATTAAGTATTTTTTTTGACTCTAGCGTTACCACTCTTACACTCAAAAACTTTCAGATATTTGAGATCCTGTTTTTGGCAAAAAAAAAAAATGAAAACCTCATGATAAAGTTGCAAAAATTATGAGAGTGACACCAACCAAGCAACCAAACACCTTGCGGCTTTGGCAAACTATGTCACAATTTTTGGCCGCATTCGGTTGAGTTAGAAGTGGGAACACAAAACAAACCGGAAGAGCGCAAAAGTTACGCATTACTTAACTGAAAAAATCTAAAATATTTGCTTTGCGTTTTTCAACCCAATACACGAAAAGTGTACGGTATTATAGCATATTACATAAAAAGGGAGAAAGAATCGGAGTTAAGATCTCATGGCAAATTTAAAAAAAAAAATGGAAAATTCCATGAACACAAACTAACCAATGGTTTTTGTTTCAGTTTGCACTGTTGCCAATTTTTATTAAGAGAAATTGATTGTAACCTCCACTAATGCACACGTGGTCATTTCATGAGTATTGATTTTAATAAAAAGTATTTTAACAAAAACTGGTACAAATCACTGCTGCTTCGTGTATTGCCACCAGTTATCATAAGTTTTTACACCATTTATATATATTGTGTTTACACTGATTCTATATATGTAAATTGATTGGCATTGTTTGTCAATTTCTGTTTTAAAAATAAACGATAAATAGTGTCGCAATTTAAAGAATTAGAATTTAGAGTTAACGATTAATAACTTTTCTCCACCAAATAAAATGAAATACAAAAAAAATTGAACTTTTAATAATAGGAAAGATTATTTTCGTGGCAACGTTGCCAATTTTCATTGCCTTTACTGCTATGTAATATTTTTCTAATACTCAAACCACAAATTGCTTGAAATAGTACAACAAATACCCCTACACTCAACTTGCGCTTGGTATAAATGGTTGATCTCCAAACAAGACCCTAGCCAAAGTAGTTTTATTGCTATTTTAGTAGTACTACTTTTTTATGCATATTTTCAACCAACCTACAACAGCCACTTTGCGGCACATGTGTTGAATGCCACAGATGGCACTAAAAAACTTAGTAGTGCATGAAACTGAGTCGAAAAAATTGAGAGGAAAACAAAACAGGCAAAGTATGAAAAAGGAAGAAAAACAAAATCGAGAGTGAATTATAATGGCGAATGAAAAGACTAATAAGAATATGAAAAAGAGCAAATTAAATTAAAAAATATGTAATAAATATTTCGCCACTTTAAAGCGACCTATGGAATATATTCGTGTTAACAGGGTGTTGCATAAAATTTTTTGAGTTGGTACAATAAAATAAAATTAAATTCAAAGTATATAAAATAAAAAATAAAAATAAAAAAATGGAATAAAATAATATGAAACAAAATGAAATAAAATAAAATAACGAAAAATTAAATAAAATAAATAAAGTAAAATAAAACAAAATGGAATAAAATATAAAAAAAATAAATAAAGAAATAAAATAAAATAAAAAATAAAATAAACAAGTACAAAATAAAATAAAAAATAAGAAATAAATTGATATAATATGAAATAAAACAAAATAAAATAAAATAAAATAAGATAAAATAAAATAGAATTAAATAAAATAAAATAAAACAAAATAAAATAAATTGAAATATAATAAAGTGAAATATATTTAAATTAAATAAATTGAAATTAATTAAATTAAAACAAATTAAAATAAAATAAATAAAATAAAACAAAAAAAAAGATATCATATAAAATAAAATAACATTAAATAAAATAAAACAACACAAATATAAACTAATATCAAATTAGGTATAATAAAATCAAAAATTAATAAAATAAAAAATAAAAATTTAAAACTTAAATTTTATTTAAAACAAAAGTAATTCAACCACATAAAAGGATATTTATTTACAAATAAACGATTTTCCACTCAAAATTGTTATTATTATATAATTAATAAGTATTTTAATAGCCTTTTCCCTTCTATTGCCAGTTACACCTACATTTTTATTTTAAATATAATGTGCTCCCAACATCCCACATTCAGTCAGGCAAAAAAATAATAATAATAAATTAAAGAAAACAACCAGGCAATTCTCACAGCTGTTGCAGCGTGTTGCATGTGAACTCGCGCTTGTCAGCCAAAAACACTTTTTTAATGCCACAAATGCAAAAGTTCAACTACTTGCACTACACTTGCACGCATTTATGGCAGTGGAGCACATACACCTACTCATATACAGATATTAGCAAACAACCAAACATGGTCTTGCATTAGAAGTATGGCATTGCAGCAGTATGTGGCAGTCAGGAAATCTATAGTAGCTTTAAGGGCGGCAGTTGTTGTTGTTGTTGTTTTGTTAGTAGTAGTTCATGCTGCCACTTCATACAAGTGAGTACATAAATTTCTTTTGTTTGCTTTTGTGTTTGCATTTTTGCCATTGTTATTGCCAAGTGGTTGAATAAAAAACGAATATAAGAAAAATATGAAAAAATGAAAAATAGTTTGCTGGAGATTGTAGGAAGTGCGCACAAATATATGCACATATGTACATACATGCCTAAACATGTGAGTGCACTTGCTTGCTTATGCAATTATGTGTGTTGGTACTCTTCAGTATGCCACTTTTCAATCGGTGAGCACAAAAGGTTGTTCATACGCAGTGGCGCTCACTGTATACTTCTATACCACTATGTATGTATACATGTGCTAAGTTATCCTTTACCAAGTGCATAACTTAGTAAGTGGAAATAGTTAAACATTTTTGTTTTTGTTTTGCATTTTTATAATTGTTTCTCATGCTTCTTTATATTCTTTTAATGAAAATTAAAATTTTCGGTTTGCTCAAGCGTTGCAGAATATACACTTGACAGAACAAAAGTACTCAAAAATCAGCACAAAATTTTGATTTGTCAAACTGAATTACAGGACGCAATAAACTTGGTACAAAAAAATTTTCTAACGGAGTTAAAGTTAAAAATAAAAGTTTTGTAATTAGAGAAAAAGGTTATTAACGAAGGTAAAAAGAGCAAGAAGATGAACTAAAAAATCTCTTATAAAATAAAATTATATAATTCCTCTCCTTTCCGCTTAAAGCCATATAACAATTCTCTTCCTTAATATCACCTGCTTTACTTCTTTCCCTCTTAAGAATGACAAACATTTGCCAACAATAAAATATGCAAGGGGTGTAAAAAACACCCGACAAACATAAAATATACTGCAGAAGAAAATGAAAAAGTAAAGAATAGCAAGAAAAACTGTAAAATCTATCACAATGCATAATGCACATTCCATTGAGTAAGTTCCTTTAGGACCGTTAGTACACAAAACAAATGTTGGCCGCAAAAAACAGCAAGCGTGTCATACTGCATTAGAAATATCATGAATAAGTAGCGGCAGTTATAAGTCTTGACGACAAATAATGTAGGCGAATGTGAATGTGTGCTATTTGCCTATTCAGTATACAAACATATGGAGGCAATATTTCCGATGCATTATAACATCAGAGCTTCGTAGGCAATGAGCAAAAGGAATATAGTATCTCAATAACACAACAAGTTTCAGTGAAAGTAAATTTAATTACCTTACCCTCGGAAGGTTTGCGGAATAACTTTTTTGTTTACTAGATAAAAGATTTTCGCTAACAATAACACCTTCAATGTACGATATCTTCAAGATTACCAATGCTGCCTATATAAATCGGTGTTATTTTCCTTATCTTCAAATAATTTCTTATTTACCTTGCTTAGGTTTCTTTATACAAGTGAAGTAAATCTAATAAAATTAAATATAAATAAAATAAAATAAAATAGAATAAAATAAAATAAAATAAAATAAAATAAAATAAAATAAAATAAAATAAAGTAAAATAAAGTAAAATAAAGTAAAATTAAATTAAATTAAATATGTAAACCACCCAGTAGTCAAATGGCTTTTTAGAAGCAACGCAAATAGTTGTTTGCATAATCGCATATGATAATGGCAATGGTGCGGCAAGAAAGGCTCATGTAGTAAACATTTATGCATAACATATACAATACACAAAACGCACACCAAATATGTTGTTATCAGCAAAATATTATCTAGTTGCTTTGTTACATATGTCATACAAACATATATCATACATATAACATAGCCTATATGCAAATATACCAAAATGAAATATTTGCCCTTGCAATACTACACAAATATCAGCCAGCACAGTGAGTGGCAGTACTAAAAACAACAACACTAACAACTGTAAAAGCTATTAAAATGGCAGCACATGAACTACACAGAATACAAATATATAGAACATAAAAAAAAACAAACACATGCAATATATTTATAAAATATTTGCTATATTTGCTTTCACTTGCAACATGCAGCATCTGCCACATCGTATGAGCATATTGTTCTTCCCAGCACTGGCATTGCCAAAATATTGTATTTATTTATTTGCCAACAATGGCAGCAGCT